CCGGTGCAACCATTATAGTACAACGGGGCCGGGCGTCCACCACAGGAATGCACGCAGCATGCCCGCGCATGCGTACTTACTGCCCGTGGCACCCCGGCTGCTTGACAGAGTGTCATGCAGCCGGTGTACACTCCATGCAGGGGTGTGGAAGCCCCAGACAGCTCAAATACAGGTAAGGAGCGCAGGTGGGCGGGTGGGCCCTCCCAAGCACTGTACCAGAACGGTACCTGGTGCTTCCAGCAGGCACTGATATACCCATACCGGGGTGTACCACTCGTATCCCACCAGTGTAGTGGTTTCACATGCTTCCTAGCTCCGATTCAAACTCAGATGAAGTTTTGCTTCCTTGCACACCTTGGTTCCTAACAGGCTGGAGACCAGTAGCACTCTGCAGCCTGGGGGTTGGGGACTCTTGCTATATATAGTTTGTGTGTGTATATATATATAATATAGTATCTAAATGTTGGAAATGTAACCAAACTCTGGGCACATAAGTCCAAAAGAAAAAGAAAATTGGACAAAAACACAAACATGGTTGGGGGAAAAAAGTTAAGGCAGCATTTAGATTACAAAGCAGAATTATTTTTTGTTAGGCAGAATACCAGAAAATTATGATAAAGGAAATATATATTTAACATTACATGTTTTGACACCAGCAGGAATCGTATTTGTGCAACACTTAAAAAAAACGAGGAGACATCCACAGAAGAAGAGATAATTAAAAAAAAATACTAGACTGTGCAGAAATGGACAGACTAACAATGAAGATAAAAGAAAACAAAGACTCAGGATGTTTTCAAAATTTGGAACCCATTTTATTAATGGTTGGATAATAGAGGTAGAAATTAAAAGTTTAATATTGTTATGTAAACAAACTGACCCAGACAGTATGCTGTTATCTAGACGATTGGAGAATAGTCTTTATAAGAATTTCCTGGTCAGATGAAGTCTGGGGATTATTGGAGCAACATGCAAATCAGTTATATAATCCTAAGTATGATTTCTAAAAGAAAGCTCCGTTGAACATAATGTTGGGTTTTGGACTAAACTGGATGAGCAAATCAGATTTTTATTCAGGACTAATCCTACAATCTGTTCATTGAATGACTGCCTTCTGATATTGCTAGATGTCTGTGGGATCAGAGAGCTTTGATTTATACTGGCAAGAGGGTAGTCTTAATCTTCAGATGAAGAGTAGGAATGGAAGGGGTAGGGACCTTAAAGCAAAAAGGTCTGCTAGAGAGGCAACATTGGGCTGGAAGACATCTGCCTCAACCTGATGTCCTCCAATTGTGTTGGATTTCAACTTTCTGCCATTTTTATTATGTTAATGTTGAATGAGAATTCTGAAAGTTAAAGTACCTAGACTGAAGGAGACTAAATTGGAGAAAGCTAGTCCAGTTTCTGATTTAACGTAGGACCTGCAGTCTAATAGTGCAACAGCAACTCTACAGATAGCAGCCCTGCCTCTATTTAAATTCCTCTCTTGCTTATTTGAGCAATTCATTTACACATATAGCAATAGAATAGCAATAGCACTTAGGCTTATATACTGCTTCACAGTGCCTTAAAGTCCTCTCCAAGGGGTTTACAGAGTCAGCCTATTGCCCTCAACAATCTGGGTCCTCATTTTACCCACCTTGGAAGGATGGAACGCTGAGTCAGCCTTGAGCCTGGAGGGATTCGAACTGCCAAATTGCAGGCAGCCGGCAGTCACCATGGCTCAGTGAGAAAGAGTGTACAGAAGAGCAACAAAAATAATAAGGGGGTCTGGACATTAAAGCATATGATGATTGGTTATGGAAACTAGGTATGCCTAATGAAGAGAAGGACTAAGGGAGACATCATAGCAGTCTTCCAAAACTTGAGGGGTTGTCACACAGAGAAGAGGAGGTCAATCTATTCCCCAAGGCACCAGAGAGCAAGACAAGAGATTATCAGGTCGGAGATTATTAAAGAGATCCAACCTAGAATTAAGGAGAAATTTCTTGACAGTGAGAATAATTAATCAGTGGAATGGCTTGTCTCTGAAAACCATGGGTATTCCACAGGGGTGGATTCCGGATCCCGTTGCAACCGGAATGGTGCAACAAGGCCGGGCGTCCACCACATGAACCCATGCAGTGCGTGCATGCATACTTACTGCCCACGATGCTCCAGCTGCTCAACGGAGCGTCGTGCAGGCACCGTATGCTCCATGCGCGGAAGCCCCAAAAACCTCAAATACCGGTAAGGAGCATGTGCGGGCAGGCAGGCCCTCCAGAGCACCGTATCGGAATGGTACCTGGTGCTCCTGGCAGGCACCGGTATACCATACCGGGGCATACCAGTCATAACCAACCACTGGTGTTCCATCACTAGAGGTTTTCAAGAAGAGACTGGACAGCCATTTGTCCAGAAGTGTATAGGGTCTTCTGCTTGAGCATTGGGTTGGACTAGAAGACCTCCGAGGGCCCTTCAATCTTGTTATTCTATGTTCTGTATGCAAATGGAACTAATCTTTATTATGTACGTACTTCTGGGGTGAATCTACTGGAAATGTTAAAGCCATCAAAAATCCATCTACATCTGCTTCCATGTTACATATAGAACTTTTATCCCTTAAGAAGATCTTGATAATAGAAGGTGTTTTGTCCTACCTGGCCATTTGTAGATGTTTTCTCCGAAGAACCACCAATGTTATAAGCAAGAGCCCTATCAGAAGAATGCTCAGAATGGCAAGAATAGAAATCACCACCACGTTAGGATTCATCTCCACAACTGCAAATGGGAACAAGGGATTCCAGATTAGTGAAAGCAATTGATACTAGCATTCCCATAGATTTTAGATTTCTTCAATGAACAAATCATGTGAATTAACCAGTAAGCCATACATGCTTAACTCTGGCTCCCTTCCTTGAGAAGATAGAAGTGGATAGAAGACT